TTTTTTTAAGGTAGTCCTTCAATTTATGACCAAGACACCAACTCGCCCTCCCGTGAAGGTAACATTGCTCCACCTGCTGCTGTGTGATGAGCTTTAGAGGTCACAGATGGAGCTCCTGTCAGTCAGCCTGTAGGCCGGTGCTGAGTGGGGGCAGGTTGGGGTGCGGTCAGGAGAAGACTAACAGGTGTGAAGGGAGGGAGGGCCCTGCAGGACGGTGACCTTGGTCACACACTTTGTGTGAGTGTATGTTTTACTGTGTGTCAGCATGTAGAGGCAGTGCAGGTACACCGAAGTCTTAAAGCGAGCAGTTTGTATGGGCAAAGTAAGCTCCAATACTGGAGTGTCAGCACCCAATGTTAATAGACAAGAGGTCAGTATGTGTGTGGCCCAGCTTTTTCTCATGGGTGGTGTAACATGAGAACATGAGAGATGGGATTGTGGAATTAAGCTAAGTGTATGTAGTGTTGGGTTACATCCGGTGTTACACAGCTGTGTTTCAATCAACTCTGCAAACAGCACAAAAGTTGACAGGTGAATGTCCTCTCTTGTTACAAGACATGGAGTTCTGCAAGTGCAGGATGAGCAGGAGTAGCTCTGACACACACTTAGCTCAGCTAATGCAAGAGAACAATCAGTATCTCAGCCACAAGTAAAAGTGGCAATAATGCTTTGTTCATTTTAAATAACTGTACAGACACTCTGTGCAGATGAAGATTGAACTTATATCATAATGCTGACTAGTTAGTGCAGCTCCAGCTAACGTACTGTAGCAATTTTTACTTAACTAACATTATTTGGCCACTTAGGTGCATTCTTAAACTGTGAGTGGGGCATGGAGTTTTCTCGTCTAGATACTTCAATCAATCAATCAATCAATCAATCAATCAATCAATCAATCAATCAATCAATCAATCAATCAATCAATCAATCAATCAATCAACCAATCAATCAATCAATCAATCAATCAATCAATCAATTCTATCTGCATAGCACATTTCAGCAACGGGGCAGTTCAAAGTGCTTTACATCATGAAAACACAAGAACATCATGCAAACAGCATAGAGTCAACAATTGTGAAACCAGTGTTAAACATTAATTATGTTGGTCAATGTTTCAGCTGTTATGGTTCAAAAGCAACTCTAAGCAGGTGGTTTTTAAAGGAACTCAGTGTTTCAGTTGTTTTGCAGTTTTCTGGAAGTTTGTTCCAGGTTTGTGGTGCATAGAAGCTGAATGCTGTTTCTCCATGTTCGGTTTTGGTTCTGGGGATGCAGAGCAGAAACAGAACCAGAAGGTTGATCCAGCTACAGGTCTTTAATGCAGACAACTAAGTGTGGGAATAAAATAAATGAGACCGGTGACGTCACAGCAAAGGTAACACACCCAATCCAACAGAGCTCCGTGAACTGCAGCTACATCTGAATAGCTCCTGATGGATTCCATAGCAACCCTCATGTTCTGTATGAAAGCCGTTTGAGTTGCCATGCTAGGATTAGCTGTCGGTCAAATCAAAACATCAAATCAAATTTTATTTGTATAGTACATTTCAGCAGCAAGGCATTTCAAAGTGTTTAACATCAATGAACACAAAAACACAGAGTCATGCAACATTGAATAAACAATCAAAAACTTTAAATTTCCCGCTGAATTAAAGTTCTGCCTTTCAAAACGGCAGAAAAAAAAAGAAAAAAAAAAGACTGTTTATGATACGGTGCCAAAAGCACAGAGAGGGTAAAACTTAAACACAGTGTTTATTACTGCATCTGTTAAAAGCCAAGGCACAGGGGTACTATCCACTTAGCTGTAGGAGTGAGACTGTGTTTATCTTCAGACACAGATGTCAGTTTTCTGTTGTTCTCATATGCAACCAGCAGCAAACCTCAGCTATTCCTGCTCTGCAAACCTACCTGAAAGAAAATTGGGAAGTTTTTTTGTTGTTGTTTTCTCTAAATTGCAATCGAATACTAATGAGCATTGATTGCAACTTACATTACAACAAAGTACAACTATTTGCTGAAATAGTTATTTACTGAAGCTGCAACAAACTGATCTAAGTACTACAGGTAAACTCCATTAATTAATCTTATGTCTCTTATATAGAAGTGACAGAAGAACATTCTGTCATCAGAGTCTGCAACCATAACAACTGTGCATATATAAAAAGTGAGTCTAATTTCTTCTTCCACAGTACAGGGTTTAACTACTACCTGTGTAGAAATGTCCTTTATATTGAATTTGAAAGGTAACATGAGTAGCAATTCCACTGAAATCTAACTAATGATGTGAGCTAAGAATTATTTGAAAAATGTCATGCAATTTGAAATTGAGTCTTTAATAAAAGCATTGTTTTACTAGCTGTGTGTCTAAATAACACTGTATAGAAGAGATACATGAAATCTAAATAAATGACAAAATTGAGAAAACATCAGAAGCCAGCAATAGAGTGAATCCATAGGAAGACACTATGCTACAGGAAAATAACACGTGAGCATCCCCTTATTATGTACTGTATGTAGATTTTATGTATTATGTGATAAAAATATGATCTTCTTATAAAGCAGATGGAATTGTCTGCCACAGCTATGAAAATATTGCAGCAACATCTCAGCTGATATATTTTTAATAACTTTATGAAGACAATTTGCGAGCACAACGAGAAGTGTAACAAACCAAAAAACCAATGAGAAGTATACAGTGAAAATGTATTTTTTTGAATGGCAGTGCCGATTAAAACCAAACATGTCTCCAGCACACATGGGGAACCAGTTCTTTTTTCCTCCATCTATTCTTTGAGTCTCACGCACCTGAAAAGACTTCAGTGTTTGTTCTTCCTATTTGCATTAGCACTACAGAAATCCAACCTGTAAATATCAGACCATACATGGACTGTACCAGGACGTTTTGTTTTTCACGTCATGACTGAGTAAGCAGATGGGTTGAGTTTGTGACAAAAGTTGAATTTGTCCTGAACAGCCATTTTCTTGTGTCAACAACTTTTTTTTTTTAGCTTGTTTCTCTTTAGGCACATGCTGCTGTATCAGATAATGCTTAAGTCAACACGCTGAGGTGTCAATAGGTTTACTCTTAGCCTGAGGTGACTGAGGGCGCGAGACGATGTGGGACTTCACCTTTGGCAAACATAATTAATTTAGGAGATGTTACAAACCCGAGGTAAGATCTCTTCATCCTTTCATGTGACTAAATATTTCTTTTCTGTGATCATGAACTTTCCTTGCTTTGCTTTTGTTCCCTTTGCAAACAAGCTTATCGTAAACATGCAGAATGTGGTTTGGCAGTGGGCAGTGACAAAGCAATGACTTGTGTGTTCTTACTTTCTTTTGGAATTTTATCCCCTCACCACACACGCATACACGCACACAAACACACACACACCCATAAACACACAGTTAAACACACTCGACTTGACGTGTTACTTACAGAAACAGCGCTAAACACACATGCGACACCACACACCTGCAGACTGCTTTGCATTGACTGGATGAAGAATGAATAGGAAGTCCTAAGATTACACACACACACACACACGCACACACACACACACTAATGCTAGCATAAATTGCACCTGCACATTGTTCAACAGGAGAACTCATTTTCACGTTAGCCACATTTTTAGAGTGCAGCAAAGTGGACTGGAAGCTCCATCCATCATTTTTAAGCTGGAACTATTATTTCTAATCACTTCTTTTTTGTTCACATCTGAGATAGTGACATGCAATTTTAAGTCAGCTAATAACGTTTACAGCTGCGATTTCTTTGTGCAAAACAAAAGCCGAGCAGCTGGAAAATGGCTTCAGTTTAAAAAACAACAACATGCAAAACGGATCAGAGCAAATTGGTTTTAAAGGACATTGACTCCCAGAAATATTGAGCATGTACAGACTGCAGTCACATACGGCTTCGACGGAAACCCAGAGACCCTCTGCGCCTATCAGAAAACAGTTTACTGTTTGATAAATACACAGCGGCACAGGAGGAATATTTTCTTATTAGAAATTCTGAATCCCTCCAGGAAGAATATTGGACACAATAAATCATTTAGCACGGCCGGCTTCACTAATACTGCTAGGTCAGCAACACACAGCAGAGTGTTATATGACCATCAATTATTAACATGGACTAACTTTATTAGCATATTCCTCAAAGCTGGAGGGAGAGAAGAAAATGGACGGACGAATGGATGGATAGTTTTTTTTTTCTTTTCCTATTGCTCCTGATCTCTAATCTTGTAATCTAATAAAGTAGGAGCTGGATGAAATCTGTCATGTGGATTATGAGGTGATTATTTATGGAGACTTTTTAATTAAAAGAAAAACTGCTTATTAGGAATCCTCAGTTCCCTCATTAATAGCAGGGAGAGGAAGAGTCTGTTGTTTGAGAGTTGGCAGGGTACACTAATGAGGTGGTGGTGGTGGTGGAAGGGGGTGGAGGGTATCAGAGATGGTACTAGGAAAATAGCACAGAAGCAAAAGTGTTGTTGCAGGGATTTCACAACATAATTTGCAGTTCTGCATGAGAGATTCTGAGTCAAGACCCAGCAGTCCAAGTAGACACATCATGGTTTTCAACTGGAATCCCAGAGAAAATGGAGAAACAAAAGGAATAAATAAAAGGAGCTGTAGTGGCAAACTGAACATCTGCTGAGCTTATAGAAGCTACTTCTCAGTGACATGTTGGGAAAAATGTTATTAACCCAATTTTTGTCATTCATTTTAATTTTGATAGTACATAGCACTACAAACATCCAGTAACTTTTACTCAGAAAAAACACAAAAAAGAGGAACTCATCAAATGTTCTTCTTCATTTAAATTGATTTACAGATGCTTTCTGTATAGAAATCAGATTGATATAGTGTATTTAGTTTGTTTTTACAGTGGTATTGTTTCTTGCATTTTTCAAAACAGAATATATAACATTTCTGTGGCCCATCCAAGGGCTACTTTTAACTTGAAAGTTGTGGCCCCTATGTCAAAAGGTTTGGACACTCATGCATAATGCTCCACTCCCGATCACTTCAGAACCAATAATCATCATCCTTCAGAACGGGTTGCTACAAAAAATAAAATCAAACCAGCTTTGAATGTTAAAACAGAGTAACATTAACATTTGAAAATCTTGACAAAGATAAAAATACAAACCCAAAAACAAAACAAAAACAAAAACAAAACAAAAACAGCATTGACCACATATTCTCATCTGGAGATTCATCTGATTCTGTGGTGAATGAGTGCAGACGAGGAGTGGATCAGATCACGAGAGGGAAAATATCACACTTTGAAAAATGACGAACCGATGGAGCATGAAAGCGTGCGTCGCCTAGTAGCAATTACCATTTCCTGCCGCAGCGCCCGGCAGAGAAACTCCTCACAGAGCCACGCAGTCGTAGGTAGGCGGCATCATGAATTACACATCCGGACATCCAAGACGTCTCGGGTCAGCACCGCATGGTGTGGTGTGAAAAAAAAAAAAAAAAAAACAGAGGCTCTTTTTGTTGAATCCTGTTGTTCTATCCATGAAGTATCTCACATCTGTGCAGCTAAGTCTGGAAAACACAAAATGCTCTGAGTAGGGGGATTGGGAGTGTGGGGTGAGGGGGGGGGTTGGGTGGGCTGAGGTCAGGCTACACACACACACACACACACACACACACACAGACAGACATGAAGCGGTCTCTACTCCTGCTACTGGAACTCTCATATTGTCTCAGTCCAACAAAGCAGCAGCTGGCACAAACAGCGAGCTATTTAACAGCCACCAATTGATGCTACGCCACCAGGTGCTACTGTGTGCCTTTCCCATCCTCATTTTATGCATCAGCAGAATTTCGTTTGCCTTTACTTTCATAGCTCAAATTCTAGTAAACAGAAGGGATGGGGGCAGCAGGGGGTAGACGGGTGGAGGGGTAAATGATATTTATGCCCAGAGACTGAAATGGCTCGGGATGAAGAGAGCTGTGGACGGATGTGAAGACGTACAGTCTGCATCTGTTTCTGCGTTGGTACGCAGAGGAAAGCACAGAGGCTTAAACGTGTCCTTGGGAGCCGGCGCTCACATGCTGATGAGGATGCCACCAGGTGTCTGCGTTTGCAGGAGTGTGTGTTTCTCCCCATGCCTCTGTGTGTGTGTCAGTATCTGCGTGGATCGTAACCAGAAATAACACACTTCCATGGGACCTTTTAAATGGACACCATCTGTCTCTATCAGGGAAGGCTTTGGGAAAACGAATGTCTTTGCTCAGATCGTTTATATATATATATATATATATATATATATATATATATATATATATATATATATATATATATATATATTTATTTATTTATTTATTTGCAGCTGGCTAAGATGATCCCGCATCATTTTTCTGGAAGCGGAATAAAGAAGATCTTTGAAACAAATATGATACAGGTTAAGCTTTTTGTTTTTTTATTGTCTACAGTGAATCAAATCTAAAAGCAGTAGTAAATTTGGTTTATTTCCCAAATAGTGGCTTAGTGGCTGTGTTTCCTTTACAAATGTGCACAAAACTTTGTCAATATTTCACTAATGTTGAAGAAACACAATTTCACAATCGTGGTGTTTCCATTAAATATTAAATAAAATTAAAATCACACGTCTCCCACTTCCTGTTGTCTCGTCTTTTCCACCAGTAGTGACATCTGGTTGTTGATCACATGACTCGTGTGATATGAAAAAAGTGTTGCCACTTTTCCAAAATACACTTATTTAGACCTATAAACCACATCATCCTGTAACTATAAAACATTTTAGAGACTTTTTCCAAATTGGCGTGTTTCCATTCAACTAAAATAATTTTTGTAATTCCAGTTTGCAGTTATGTGCTCAGTGGAAACACAGCTTATGTTTGCAGTTGTAGGAGTTGCAGCTACATGGATTTGACTCGTCACATTGTCCCAGTGTAAACACATTCTGAACACAGATGCATGCAGTTTGACAAAGAGCAGCACCTGGACAAACTCTCTGTTTGTCTGGGCCCGTATTAGGAGCTTATCACTCATTGTAAAGTCTCCCTTATGCACTGTATGACCACTATCTCTATTGTTCCCATGCAGAACCCAACCGCCTGAACTGAAGCTGCAGCGAATGCACCTGTGCCCTTATATGTGGTTGTGTGGTATCTGTGTAGCCTGATTAACTGTCCATTAGTCAGGCCGTCAGCCTACCTCAAATCTTTGTCTATATTCTTCTGATGTTGAAAAAACACAATTTCCTAATTGCAGTGTTTTCATTAAGTAATAAATTAAATTAAAATAACACATGGATAAGTTTGTTCATGCAATAAATCAATGAAAATCATGGCAGCGACGGATATAAACAGTTACATGAGACACATTCAAAATTCAGCCATGGTGCTAGTGCTCTTCATCTATCAGCCAATCAGAGGAAACGTTGGTGTCTTATTCAGGCGTCGGAGTGACAAGGACTTTATACTTGTGGGCCGCTACGTATGAGACGTTTAGGAGAAATTATAGTCGGTGATTTTACAGAAGAGCCATGGATTCAACACGTTGGAATGACACACAACTCGTTATGAGCTGTGAGATGCTGTGAGAGCTCTGGTGGAGCCAGCTGCACATCGTCTGAAAAAACTCCCAAAACAAACCTTCATCCTCCTGCCACTTCCTGTCGCCTTCTTTGTCGTTTCCACCAGTAGTAACATCAGGCTGTCGATCATGTGATTCGTGTGGTGCAAAAAAAGTGTTTTCATTGCAGTTTTGCAACATACATCTGTTTTGTTATAGCTGGAAAACCACCCCATCCTAACGCAAAAAAGCTAAATGTGAGTTCTTTTTTTAAGATGATGTGTTTCAGTTAAACACATTTATTTTGATCTTTTCAGTTTGTGGTTAATAGAAACAAAGCTAGTGTCTCCAGCTCTCTGGCTGTCCTCTGGTCTGTCATTTACAGTAGATGTCAGACAGCTGTCAGGGTGGCTTTCTGAGTGTGTGCGTGAGTGTGTGCGTGTGATACCCCTCTGCCTTCCCTGACAGGCCCACTGAGACAGACACAGACGTGATGTGATGGCCACAGTGTCTGATAGCCGCCAGATCCGTCATGCTTTAACTGGGCTTGACTGCGGATGAGCCTCTAAACTGCCTGCTACAATAAGGGACACGTCCAAGAGAATGGGTTTGACCCCGCAGGTCATCTTGCAGATTAAGCCTGTTGGAAGGATCGCGGTGTGGCGCGGCGCAGTCCTGGGCCCCATTCACACCTCAGTAACACACACAGCAGCACATTCAGTAGAATCAGATCGTCTTGTGTGGAGATGTTTGGACGTGGGTGTGCACATGACCAGCAATACAGAAGTTTTTGTGCTGCTGTTCACCTGCGTTGTGTGTCATCTGCAGAGGAGAAACGTGACACACACACACATGCACACACATACACACATTCCCGGAGAAGAAACCCTTGGGTTTTCTCCTGAGTTTAAGCCTCCCTAATCCCCGAGAAAGATTTGCAACAGTTTGACGTAATCCTTTAGCATTTTACCCTTCCTTACTCCCAAATGCCTCCTCTACCGTGGCTTTGCCAACAATGCACACGCAATAGCTTGATGTAATTAGAGTCGTTAAAGGCTCTCCATAAATAAAAGTGGTTTGTTCGCTTCTTCTTTTTTTCTTTTTCTTACACTGCATCTGCACACAGATTGGTGATTTATGCAGTTATTAGGATGCATAATGACTCCGATTGCGCAGTAAAGGTCCAAAATCTGAACCGTTGAAATTTCAACTTTTCCTTCTTTTTTTTTTAACTCCATGAGCAAAAGTGTCTGTAATTGATACTCCTCATTATAGCTCATTATGAGTCATCATATATCAAAACCATGCCTGAATAAAAGCTTTGAAAAAGCTCCGTTCACACACACTTCATACATTCACAGAAGGACAAAGCTTGTGACAGCAGCTCAGTGTGCTTTGAGTGTCCCGGCTTCATGTTAATTGAAGCTCGCCGGAGTGTTTTCAGCTGCTTTAAGTGTGTCAGCTGACAGCGGCATTAACGTGGGTTGTGTCATGTTGTGTCCTACCTGGGAAAGTTCTGCTCAAAAAGTGCTGGGGAAGTACAAGTGTTAGAAACATGTCAGCTCCCATACAGACAGAAAAGTCCCTGTCACCTACCGTCTGTGCCACAAAGCGGCACGAGCGGGATTGTGCCAAACACCTCGTCACGTCAAAGTACGGATCGTCGTAAAGGTGCTGCTGGGGATTCTTCAACCAAGTCAGGTTTCAGTAACAGAATGAAGTTCATATTTTATCAGTAGGGCTTGTAACAAGTGCATAGAAGTTCTGGTGGATGATGACGATGATGATGATTGTTCTCACAGTGTTTCTTGTTTACACGTCTTGCCGGGCGCCGCCGTCTCTCCGTCGACACCTTCGGTGACAGCGCAGTCACATTGCGTCGCGTGCCCTGTCAACACACGGCGCTCCTCTTCGCTAGATGGTGAAAAGAACATTTTCGCAACTTTGGGAAGCACATGTGTGACTGAGTGTTTCTGTCTGTTTCCTGTTTGGCTTCACCAAAATCAGTTGCTCAAGAGCAGAAGAGATTGAACCTCGAATACGCTGAACAGAAGGTAATTGGACGGCTGGTTCTCTCTGACATTTCGTATTTCAGGAGGACAACGCAAACTAGTGCCTGGACTTTAATGTGATAATTTTGTGATTAATTAATTACATAGATTTCGTTGCGTTATTTATTTATTTTTTACACATAAAAATCAAGGTGCTTGATTTTTTTCCATAGATTATCCACATACTGCAGATAATCTGTGATTAATATGCAGCATGACACATAAGGCTACGTACTGTAGCTTTAATTCAAAGTTTTGATGTTACAGTAGTTTTGATGTTCCCTAGCCCCTTACCTGTATGCAGTGTATACACTGTATGTGTGTGCAGCACTTAGTCTTTGCAGCACAACTACTGCTGAGCATGATGGCTTACAAGAAAAAAAAGTTTGTGCAACAGGCAGCCTGTGAGGTAGAAAACACAACCGGTTTTAAAATCTGTAGTCATAAATCACAAAAACTCTCTCTTTCTCTCTCTCTCTCTTATACACACACACATGCACACAGACACAAAACTATGTGAGTGGTGAGCAAACACACTATCGTGCTCTCTCATGCTTCTTTTCTATACGGTTAGCATGTCTGCAGGTGGAAAAGGTGATTACTCACCACAAAGCACTAGTTGGACAGCAGTAAAAGGAGGGCGTTTAACTGGTAAACTTTAAAGCATGCTCCACAGGAAGACCAGAGGAAAGAAAGAACACACTCATGGTTTGCCCTACGAGCTGAACACAGAAGGAAATTGGTTATTTCGGTGATGGAGGAGCGCGCTGCAGGGTGGCAAGGGAAGTACACAACATTTTATCTGTAAGAGCAATTTCTAGGGCCTGTTTGGCAGCAGGGTAGTGTCCAAATCATCTGTGAAATCACAAGTTAACAGCAATGAAACAAATACAGACAGAAAAATCTCAATCATTACATCAACAAAAGCACATACATATAGCAAAGATGTTAGTGGGAACACACTGACA